AAGATATTTCTTTGCTTATAGTTATTTCCTTGTTGCAATTTATTTGTCTATTGATAGGAAGATAATCATTACCACCTTCTTCTTTTTCTCAGAGTTCTTTATGTAGGCTAAATGTATCATGTTGTTAACATTTCTTGAGTTCCTTAATTATGCAGAATAGAAATTATTATTATTTAAGTTTTATATCCAGACAGAAACCAAATCACAACAGTTTCAATCTAATTTTATCTTCTCTATAAATTTCAGACTTTTTTTATATATATGATTAGAATTTGTTATGCTTTACTTTTTACTTTAAATAGTTAAAACTGAAAGAAAGGTTACTTGGTTATGATTAGATCCTTGCCATTGGATAAAAATTAGATAACTTTAGAGAGATCAAAAAGGAATTTTCTTTATTATACTTACTAATCACTTTAAAAACTAGGTTCCAAAATTTGGGTGAGTTCCATAGACTCACCTGAAAATATTCTTTGTGAGACTCCTTCAATCAAGTCACTGAAAATAATAGTATTTGTTAAATCAGTCTGGATATTATTTAATAATTTCTTAATCTGTTATTCTAGAGAGATGATAAAATAGTAGTTTATGCCCGCCGAGTAAGTTATACTTAGTGTTACATAAAGACATTCCCAGCAAAGCTCTACCTTTTAAAATTAAATGCATTCATGAAAAATAACATTTATTTTTTATTTCAAATAGTATTTGGAAGGAGAAAAGGACATTAATATCAGTCATAAAAATTTCATACAGAAGTTTTAACTTATAAATTCATTTGCTTATTACTTTTCTATCTAAATGAAATTTTTATGAGAATAACCTAAATAGTTTCCCAAGGTATCTTTGATAAAGATATTATAGGAAGGTTTTTATAAGCAATCTTTCATGGTAAACCACATCTTTACAATAACAAAATTTGTTGAAAGATTTCAAAGCTAACACAGTCCCACTCTGTTTATTGTTTGTTGGGTGTAAAAAAAAACTTTTGGTTTTTTAGAACAACATAATGCTTTAAAAACTCTTCTTCAATAAGATGTATCCCATGGATATGTCAGAATTGTACAACAGTTCTTGAAAGATACAGCAATAAAGGTAACCTTATTCTATGATCCTTTGGTTGGTTATTAATGTTACGTGAGGCGTAAGTCAGGGAGATGCATGCTTGTCAAAGATATCTGTCACTGTTTTGAAAGAGTTCTGACACAGTTTTCAAGTCACAGAGGAATCACTATAGATGGTGAGCTCCTCTAGATGATCATGTGTGTGAATGACATTGTGCTGATTGTATCCTTCTTAGGAATATTGCAGAACCTCCTAAATGAGATCCATAATCACTCAAAAGAGATTTTTCCTCACTTTCCACACAGGGAAAACCAAATGGTTAAAGAATGCCTCTTATCCAGACCATAACATACAGGTGACAGCCTAGGGATCCTGTGCATATGTGTATTTAAGAATCTTCATTTCTTTTATGGAGCATTCACATTTTAACAAGTATATACAGTCTGTGCTCATATAATTCTTCCATATACCTCCTATAAATATTTAGAGATCCTATTAGATGAACTCTTACACAGTTAAGAAGCCCACATATATTAATATACATCCAGTTATTCCCATTTCACTATGACTTTTCCTCTAAGTGTGATATGAATAGCAGTTACAAATATTAATCTGATGTGTAAGCTGTTATGTAAGCCACTGTAGACCCAATATAGTAGAAGACAATACAAGCACAAAACTATTTGTAAAAGTGTCTCATTCTTTTCAGTGTGTAAAATACTATTGTTTCAGTTTCAATCAGTTTAAATTAATTTAAAAGTTCATTAATATTAACTGATCAGGAGGCTGTTTATGTCTGTTGGTTGCAGTAGGGTCTTTTTCAACTTGGTAGCTGGTAATATGAAATATCATACATCAAGAATGCAAATAAATAATTTATCATTTTTTAGAAAATGGTTGTCTTTTGTTTTATATTACGTACGTGTTCCAGTATGTCCCTTACCTGTGCCCCTCCAAGCGAGCCATCTTTTATAATAGAGAATGAAAAAGACGTAAACAAAAAGAACATTGTTCAGCAAAACCAGCCATCAGCATAAAAATGTCTGACATTGTATGCCATGTTCCATATGCTGCCTCTTCAAAGAATGGGTTCTTTGGGCTCAAGCTTGGTAATATAATTTCACAGTCAGTTTCTAATGTTTCATTGAGGTTGTTCTTTCCATTTACGTTATTGTAGTCATTCAGTATGTCGTTTCATGGTTCTGCATACTCCATTCCTAATCAGTTTATATAACTCTTCCTGTTTCTCTGAATTTATCATATTCATCATTTCTTAAGAGTACAGTAATATTCCATTACATTTATGTACCACAATTTATTTAGTTATTTTCCTATTGATGAGGGAATCCACTTGATTTCTTTTTCTTCCTTCCTTCCTTCCTTCCTTCCTTTTTTTCTTTTTTTTGATACTACAAATAGTACTGCTAAAACAGGGGTGGGGAGTGGTCCTCTAGGTCCTTTGACAAAGGTCCAGGGCTCTTTGTCTGAATCCAACCTTCACAGAACAAATCCCCTTAATAAAAGAATTTGTTCCGTAAAACTTGGACTCAGTCGAAAGGCCACCACCCAAGGACCTAGAAGGCCACATGTGGCCTTAAGGCCGCTGGTTCCCTCTCCCTGTGCTAGAAGTATTTTGCTGCCTATCGAACTTTTCTTTTGTGTCTTTGATCTCCATGTATATGCCCACCCCAAGGGTGTCTGTTTCAAAGTCTATGGCCTTTTTTAGTCCTTTTTCTAGCATGACGTCACATCACTTTGCAGAATGGTTGGACCGATTCATTAATCCACCAGCATTGCATTAGTGTGCCCGTCTCTCATTTTTTATTAAATGTGTGAATCTAAAACTGTATAAGGTAAATATTTGTGAAGGAAGCTTGACTTTTATTTGAATTTTTAGTTATTTACAAATCATTATTAATAAGTGGGGATATTCTTCTATCTGAATTCATTTTTTCTATTTTACCTCTTAATTTTCCATTTCATAATTCACTAGCATTTTGTTCACTATCTGCCGAGATAAACAAAAACAAAACGTTTATGAAAACCATTAGATAGTTTTGTTACTACCTAAGACTCTTCCGAGCTAGAACACATTGTAGAACACATCTATAACTTTGGATTGATTATGGTTTTCACGAATTCATGGGAACAGCAAAAAATTAAGAATTGTTGTATCAAAGAACATCAACAACTAATTTTATAATGTGGCTAAGTTTCTTAAATCAAAGAATTGGGCAAAATGATCAGAAGAGTACTTTTACCTAATACATTCTGTGATTGTGTGATTGTCAAAAGCAGTGAACAGTACAAACACATCATAAAAATATTGTGTTAATTTACTGTCAATAAATAAATAGCTACCTGATTTGAAGAATTGTATTTTTATCAATATATCTTTTAAAAATTTAATTTCCTTGCTGTTCATTAGAGCATTAGGGGAAAAAAAAGACACAATCTTAGCTTAGCCACTTTTTTTTGTTTTGATCTAAGTAGATATTATTAAAGAAATTAACCACAGTAAATTCAGAAAATAAGTAATGTAGATATTCCTTAAGCATAATGAAGAATTGGCTGTGAAGTCCAGGCTTTATCGAGAAGCAATGGCACCCAGAAAAAATAAGATTTTGAAAGAATTGAAACCAAAGCTTTAGAAGGAAAGATTGTAAAAGTCTACTAACCAATGTCTTGATGTTGACGCAAACCCCTTTTTTGATATTGGCTCACAAGCGTGTATGAGAGTATGATGGGGAAGGAAGAAGCAGTGAGAAGGGAAAAAGTGGCATTTATGGGAAATAATGTCTTAGTTTCATGACCAAAAAAATAATCAGTGTTATGAGAGTGTTATAAGAAAGCAGTGTCATAAAATATCTCTTTCTTTAGGCTTAATGAATGTTTAAACAGATCAAGGACTGCTGGTCATCATCTTATCCTGCTTCAGAAAGAAATGGTCGTTACCAAATTGGGTAGAGATCATAGAATCATAGCAAGAAGGAACCATAGAATCCATTGAATCCAATCCATCTCTTCTTATATTTGATAAGGAAGGGAGAAAAGATGGTTCTTGGTCTGTGGATGACTTGTCCTAGGACTGCTTCTATCTGAAAACAATTGAAAAATAAATTATAAAAAAATTAATTTGCGTTCCAATGTCTTTCCCTCCCTCTATCCCTTGCCCCCACCCATTGAAAAAGCAAACAATATGATACCCATTTGTTTATAATATTTTAATGATATTTTTGTTTCTATATCACCCTTTTAACAAATAATATTTTAATGGAAGAAGAGGAAAAAAAGTAGCGAAACAAATGAATACATTGAAAAAAATCTGACATCATATGTAGTGTTTCACACCTGTGGACATATCTCCCACACCTTTTCAAAGAAATAGGAGGAAGTGTCCTCCTATTTCTTTATTGGGGCCAAACTTCTTCTTTTATACTTTTGTAATATTGTTTAAAGTTTTCATTCTTTCCATTCACGTCATTGGACTTATTGTTTATATCATTTCCCTTGTTCAGCTTACTTCATTTCACAATAGCATGAAAATCTTTCCATGATTCTCTATATTCATCATATTCATAGAGTCTTGTTGTACAGTAGTATTCCATTACATTAATGTACCACAATTTGTTTTTCTATTCCCCAGTACATGGCTTTAGACTTTGTTTCCATTTCTTGCTATTAAAGTTTGGTATTTATGGAGCCCTTTTTGTCAGTGACCTTCTTGGAAAACATGCCAAGTATTAGAATCTCAGGGTTAAGGGTGTACACATTTTAGTCACTTTATTTGCACAATTTAAAATTGTTGAAAAGTTTTCTTTTTGAAGAATGTCTGTATGCTCTTAGCACAGTGTCTGGCACATAAAAAGGCACTTAATAAATATTTATAGATTGATTGGAAGAGGTCTAATATGGTTTTTTTTGTTTGTATATTTTAGGTGCAGTGCTTCTTGCCAATGTCCAGGGAATTGCAGCGAGTATTGACCCAGTCTTGTACACATGGATTATCTACCAGCCACAGAAACGAAGTAATAGACATATTCAGCAGGTAAAAGTTTTTTTTAAAATTTTTTTTAACAAAAATAAATAGCCATCCAATCTTAGTTTTTTATAATGCATTTTAAAGAAACTTTAATATGATCTAGATGAAAGGCATTTTTTTACTAGAAAGGATACCACCCCCCCCCCCCAATTTGGTCATTTCTTTGGCATAACTTAAAGAGAGAGGTCCCCTGATTTGAAAAAGGAGGAGAAAGACATTTCTCAAGAGCAGAAGTCAAGTGATTTCTTAGTTTACCTGGCAGTTGGTAGACTAGTTCTAGTGGCAATAGATTGCTGGCTTTTCTCTTTTCATTCTTAATCATTTTTGTTCTTCGTTCATATGTGTTTATTATGTGCCTCCTAAGTATAAAAAGAATTGTGCTAATAATTTTAGGGAGCAAGAAGAACTATGAGGCATCACTCCTGCCCTCAAGGAGGTTACAGTCTAATTGACAGTCAAACCAGACCCACATGAAAAGTTACATAACAGTAGAAGCCATATCAAAGAATGTAATGTCAGGGCTGATTCTTCCCTTACTCCATGTGAAAGTTAAAAAAAATAAAATATGAGAATTTCCAGCTGTGTAGAAGTTTTCTTACTACTGAACCTAAATTTGCATTTTTGAGACTTCCATCCATTGGTCCTAGTTCTGCCATCTGATATCTCTTTAAAATTTGAAAACAACTCTCATTCCCTCTAAATTTTTTCTTTCTAGACAAAACATTCCTAGTTCTTTTAAGTGATCCTTATATTGGATGAACTCAATGTACTTTACCTTCCCTTCCCTCCTCTTCCTTTTCCCCCTCCCTCCCTCTTTTCTTTCCCTCTCTCTCTTTCTCTTGTCTCTTTCTTTCCCTTCACCTTCTTTTGCTCTTCTACCCTCCCCCTTCCCTTTTCCCAATATAAGGTTTATATCAGAAACATAATGATTTCTCCACAGCTACCCTATGAGGTAGAAAATGCAAGTATTGATCTTATTTTATAGACGATGAAACCTAGATTCAAAGAAGTTGCCATTTTTCCATAGTCAGACACCGACTAAGTGGCAGAGGCAGGGAAGTCAATAGGTTTAATTTTGTCAGAAGTCTCAGTAATATTAGTTACTTGGCAGTCATATTCATTTGTGAGTGATTCACTCCACTCCCATGGGCTCTATTAATAGCAGTTTGGGGAGTAATGTTCAGTAAGTTTGTGGCTTGGCCATTGTTGTCCTGGGTACTTGGAATAGCATGAAGGAAATAATTTTTCATTTCACCTTTTCTAACATAGTAGGTTCTCCTGGAATTGTTGATTTCAGGATCTGAAATTTGACTGATTAGAATACTGACTTAGTGAATCCACTAGGGCCCTTTCCACTTCTCTTTTAGATAAACTATAGCATTTGCTTTATAGGTAAGGTGGGTTGTGGACCTGAAAAATGAAGTGCTGGGGCCCCTGAATGCCCTACAATAATTTTCTTTCTCTACTCTCAGACCCTCTGAAGCATAAGAATGCATCCTAAAGGTAGAATTAATATTTGTTGCTTTTTCTGTATCTTGTATTTCTTTCAAAGCAATCACATCAGTGTTTAGAATATCAAGAGGGTAGTTTCTTTCTCCTAATTGACCTTAGTCAAAAGTGTTTCAGAATCATAGGGTTCAGATATTTTAGGGATGGCCTCTTCTTGCAGGACTTGTGATTGTACTTAACCATCAACTCTGAGCTTACTCCAGTGAAGCCCCTGAATCATTCTGGAGCTAGCAGTTGTGTTCAAAATTTATAAATTCATGCCTGCTAGGCTGTCTCTGGCTGTAGATCTGTCCAGTGCTATCAGTTCAATAACCCTGAAGCATAGTTTATGCAGTGAAGCCTAACTTTCTGAAAAACCAATGGCATCAAATTTAATGGGTGTTCTCAGGATTTACTGCCACCCAACAAATTGACTTCCACCAGCTATTTTACTTTTAGAAATGTTTTTGGTAGATGAATAAGTTGTCCATCACTGATAAAGGGAGGATGAAATCAGGTAATAAAAAAAAAGATGGATTCAGTTGTTCACAGTGAGTTTCATTACGCTTGATCAATAAATAACTGCCTGGAATTTCTCTTACTATGGGTGCTGGCCATGTCCCTTTTTTGTACTTAAAAGAGCATCTGACCCACAATTCATGGCATGGAAACAGATGTTCTCTTGAGGTTCTCTTTCCCGATCTGTGTCCTGTATTTATATTGTCTTGGAAGATTTTGCAACTTTTATGTTTGTGTTGGAAGATATTTCATGAATAAAATTAAATCTGCTAAAATGACAAAATCCTGAGAAACAATTTTTACAAAATCAAGTGTAGAAATTTTCTTTTTGGTTATTTTTAGTTTGTTATGGAATTTCCTTTATTTCATTTTCCAGCTCTTAAGTTGTTACAGCATCTATGCTGTTCGAATTCACTGCCCTTTGTTGTATTGCAATCTAATATAACATACCCGAGAACAGTAACAAGAGCTTGATTCATTAACTCTCAAATGCCTAATAAAAATCTAAATCTTCATTTTCCTAATAGGCCTTATAGTATGATCTATAGTTATATCTGTGAAGTTTTAATTTTTGTTAATGATAACCTTTCAGTGCAGTCCAAACTGACTTACCCCGACCAGATTTATCATCTGGTACAGTTGTGTTACTCTTATCATCTGCTATTTCCCAAGCTGCAATTTCCTCTAACTTTGTGGCTGAAAGCCAACATTTTGCTAATCATTTTCCACTCAATTCAACATTGATCTTTCATCCTAAGGCATAGTTAGAACTACAACTTTTGTTTTGGCCAGAAACCTGACAAGATTGCATTGGGTATCATCAGTAACATCAGGCTTCATTTCATTGAGCAGAGATGGAACAGCTGCTTTATTGTCCACTTCAGCACTCATGCATGCAATATATGAGCATAATTTTTTCCAGCTTTATCTTAACTATGATAGTTTTGATGTTTTCCAGTGTAATATAATGATGAACTAGACTTCATATTTATAGACAATGAATAGATGTTTCAGACAATTTGAAAGATTTTTGTGATACACGTATTAGCAGCCTTTCCCTAATAATTTCCTAATATTAATCCATTTAGAAAATACTTCTCAGAAAAATGTCATCTTATACATTTCTGCAGCTTCTGGAATAAAAAAATTCCTTTCAGCTTAATTTTAGATTTTTTGCTTTGGTCATCCTTTTTTATATGAATTGAGTAATTATTTAAAAGTCCTCCCCCCCCCAAAAAAAAATTTAGACATGGATTTAGCACAATTAGGAGAATTAAGACAAAATTTAAAAAATACGTATTTGGGGGTTTGTGTTTAGGTTTTTAAAATGATCCTAAGGGGTTTTGTATTTAAAAAATAAAACCAACTCAGGCTCTTACGGTTTAAGTTTTTAAAGTTTTTTTTTTTTTTTGAGATTTAAAATAATAAAAAAGTCCCAAACCCTTCACCTCCTGAAGAGCCTTCTCTGCTGATGCCATGTACATTGCTCACTGCTTGGGGAATAGCCACAGCTCAGTGTTTCATTTTTCCTCTTTCCAGCAGGCCATGGGAGCTGTTCCTCATGTTATGCCAGTTACCAGAAAGAAAGAGGATGAGGTGTCGGTTGGAAGCATGCCCTTGGCAAAGCAGCAGTCAAATCAGGCCTCTGAGTATGCCAGCAGCCCTGTCAAAACAAAAACGGTAACAGGTATGTTCTCCTCTTTAAATGAATTCTTGAAAACCACACACACATGCGTATATACAGACTCTCCCTTCAAATGATCAGCTGTGCAAATATAGTGAGACACCTTTTAGACTTAAATGTTCTTCCAGAAAGATTTATTTAAATTGCCATTTTTGTAATTAAAAATCACCTTATTTCATTTTACATCATAGTTTCCAGTTTCCTTTTGACCTTTTGTGATAAGGCTACCTTTCTTTTAGATTATTTGATTTCTAAAAGTCCTTAGAATTGGCTCACTTAAAATATCCTTAAGTATCCTTTTATTTGTTTTGGTTCAGATTTGTGATTTTACTGGCACAGGAAACTCCCAGTGAGGAAGCTTACTTAAAGTATACAGATTAGTAACTTTTCTACACTGGAGATTTGCCTAGGGCCCTGAGAAGTTAAGTGATTTGTCCTTAATTACATTGTGAATATTTGTCAGAGGTAGGATTTGAACTCAGGTCTTCCTTACTCAGAGGCTTACTGTTTCTTCACTGTGCCTTGCTGCCTCATCTTCTTATCATCATGTTGAAAATGAAATCTGTGAAATAAATGAGCCGGTAAAACTACTAATCCCTTTCCAATATTTAAAAGTAAATTAACTAATGTAAAAGTCTCTTGGAATTGTATAGAAATCTATACGTAATCCTGGGTTGTATTATTATTATTTACCAAGTTTGACAATTTCTGTGTCATGTGACCATTGAAATGGAGGACTAGACATTTTTTCCAGTTCCTACTAATCCTCAAAAACAGGCTTGCACAACCTGTAGGCCGCTTATGGCCCACGGACATGTCAAAGGATTTTGAGTGGCCTGCAAAAAATGTAGAGGATGTCTTCCTCTACATTTTTTGTGGGCTGCCCGAAATCCTTTGGTGGGCTGTAGGTTATGCAGGCCTGCTCAAAAACCTCCAAAAGAGGAGTTATTTACTAAAGATAGAGCTAATATGGCTGTTTCTATGTAACAGTGTTCTCACTTAGCATCTCTACTCCACCATCCTCCATGTTCTAGAAGGATGCATAAACCAGCCTATGGACTTGTGCTTTAGGAACCATACAGAAATTTTTGTGCTACTGCCATCTCTGCCCTTCCTCCACTCCCCTGTTGGGAAAAGCAGCAGACTTCAATTCTTTTTTTTTTTTTTTAAAGGCAGTTGGGGTTAAGTGACTTGCCCAGGGTCACACAGCTAGTGAGTTTCAAGTGTTTGGTCTGAGGCCAGATTTGAACTCAGGTACTCCTGACTTCAGGGCTGGTGCTCTATCCACTGCGCCACCTAGCTGCCCCAGCAGACCTCAGTTCTATGCATCCAAATGAGGGGTGGGGGTTAGAATTGGAAGGGGATTGGGTTTTCCTTTCTTCAGTTCGTCCCAAAGTACAAGCCCTTGGGTTGATTTGTGCACCCTCCTGGAGTATAGAGGCTTATAGAGGAATGATGTTGAGTGAGCACATTATGGATTAATATTCTCCACAGTTACTCTGCCTGTGATTTTGCAGTTATTCTTCTCCTGAAATCCCCTAGGTTAGGGAACCTCAGGGATGCAGAGGCTTTGCTAGGAGCAGCCATCCCATCCTTTCTCAGTCCTGCAAAAGCTGGCACAAGTTGTTTCAACCAAGTTAGGGAACTAATGATCAGAACAGAGGGAACTGGGATAGGATCCATCCATTGTACTAGCCTTGAAGGAAAGATACCTAGAATCATATGGTGCTAGTCCCACATCCCTAGAATCTGTGTGGAGCAGGGAATAGGAAAAATGAAAAATAACTTGCCCAACATGGGAGGAGTCTATTACAACTTTGTAGTCCAGCCCTAGAGTTAAACCTACTGTCAAAAGGAGAAGAATCAGAACATGAGCAGCAATGAAATACAAGGAAAAATGTAAAACCACCAGCTATCTGAAGAGGAAGAAAAATCATTTAAAAATTTAGGGTCTTAGCAAATAAATTGAATACTAAAATTAGAAGAGATGATTAGTACCAGAATATCCACGACATTATAAACCTTTCTAAATAATTCTGTAAGGAATTAGAACCAATACCTAATAAAATCATAGGATCTTGTGGATTCCCAAGAGAACACACCCACTGCTGGTCAGTGTATTTTGTGAGACAAAATTACAGAATAAGAGGGTCTATGGCGGGGGTGAGATTGGTGATAGAGGGAAATATGTGTTGTACAATAATCAAGTCCCTGGGTAGAGGAACAGTAACTCATAAAATCTCTAAGCAAGAGGAGGGGTTATAGGATGATTGATGGGGTGGCAAAGGGAGGGCTCAAAAAACAGTAGAAAAGAAAGGTTTAGATTTTAATTCAGTGAGATGAGGGGGTCCTAGTAAAATGGCACTCCCATAGGGGAAGAGATACATTCTGTAATGGGAATTGGGGGACTTTACAATGGGTCTAATCTATAAGGAGTTGGTGCAAAAGGAGACCACTTCTTCTGAGAGCATATTGTGTCTCAATTGACAGCAGCTGTCTTGGAAGAAAGGAAATTGGAGCTCCTGAGGTCACCCAGCATACAGATGGGTTGGAGGTAATAGACCTAGAAAGAAAGATGCATGGCAAATGGGAAAGAAAATGATCTTATGGGGAGGGCAAGTGGTAGAAATGAAGTACATGATTTGGGTCACAGGGAAATTTCTACCATGGGACAATGCTTCTCTCAATACTTCTATTAGGAGTAGACATTTCTAAGAATAAGGCACAACAGAAGAAAAGGTACAAGGAGGAAACATCTCAAAAGGCATTAATATAAAAATCAGAAAAAAAACCCCTCTAGTTTGGCACTTTAGAAGCTTTAATTCCATGAGGAACAGAAAGGCTAAAGAAAGAATAAACAAATGGAACCTTGATTTGTATCTGTTTGGTAGATTTATAAAATAAAGCACAGATTCACTGCAATACTGTACTCAGAAGAGTAGTTATGAAATGTTTGTGCTTATGCTCCTAGTTAGAGGGCAAAATTCTCTGACAATGGGCTGGTGATTGAGCTCCCAGCCCTGCACTGGTAAAGATCCCTTTTCTTTTGTGTGGATCCCATTTCGTCCTCAGGCTGCAGAGTGTTACCAAGGAATATAAAGACAGGGTTGAAGACAGGTGTATATCAGAAATAATATTAAGTAGGCAAATTATTTCCTTTACAGAATAAATTTAGGAAAGTAAATGGAAATAAGGCAGAGTGGGGCTACCCATTCCTCTCATTGGACTTATTTCTGTCCTCTGCCCTGCTCCTGGGCTAGCACCCAGGATGAAATACACACCTTCATATGTACCTTTCAGCTTGTCCATTTTGATAGAATTCATTTCACATGGTCTTACAGGAGGGAACTAGAGATCAGGTGGCATACACCAGCTGATGCCACTATTAGGCTGCTGCTGTAGAACTACCAGTGCCTTTCCCTTCTCTTCTCTTTCTTATCAAGAGTCCTCATACTCCCACTGTAGCCATATGTGAAAATCTCTACCACTACGCCTTATCTGAGGCCTTTCCCTCTCCAAGGGTTAGTTACCTTTCTTCCCCACATAGGAAGAACTACAAATCCCAGGGACGAGGTTAGGGAAATTGTGGCCAAACAACTCCTTGCCTGGGGCTCAGTATACAGATTATGTGTCAGTCGTTTGGTCAGCAAACAGTTCTTGAGTGCTTACTATGTCCCAGGCACTGGGCTGAGCGCCGAGATTACGAATATAAGCAAAAAGAAAGACAGTCTTTGTCTTCAAGGAGCTTACGTCTAATGGAGGAAGATGACACATAAAAGAAAGCTAAAAGGAAGGGAGCATGATGGGCCTGACTCCAGATTCAGCACTGTGCTGTGTGCCATATCTCTGCTCCTTAAATTACTTTATCATCCTTTAATAAATTAAATTAGACGTCTTCCTATACTGGCCCCACAAATCATTGGCTTTCTTTGAAAAATTAAACCAAACACTATCTATGCATCTAAATTCAAATAGTCTGTATTTATATGTGTATATATGTACACATATACAAGTGTTTATGTATATTTGTATAAACATGTGTATAGCATACTATTACAAAATGTTTCTTCTACTACTGATATGATTCCCCTGTGTTTATATAAGCCTTCCCTAACCTCTCTTAATTACATTGCCTTCGCTCTGTTAATTATTTCCTATTTATTCTGTATATAGCTTTCTTTGTATATATTTGTTCTCATATTGTCTCCCCCATTAGTTTGTAAGCTTCTTGAGGGCAAGGACAGTTTTTGCCTCTTATTTTTTTTCCAGCCAAAGATAAGGTTTATTAGAACATACGTCATATTGCAGACTCTTAAGGAGTCTGAACATTAGTGAGCTATTGGCTAGACTTTAAGAATCTGAGCAGTGGCTGGATTATAAGACTCTGAGCCCTTTAATGGAGACAAGATGGACCTTATATACGAAAGGACTATGGGAGGGATCTAGGAGTGGCCAGATAGTCTACAGGGACTGTCAAGTAATAGAACACCAGCCACCTGGACCACTTGGCCAAGGGAGAATGGAGCCTAGCTATAATTAAGGGTGGGAAGTGGCCCGGAGCCATAAGGAGGTAAGACAGTGGAAGGCTAGGCTAAATTAAGGGTAATAGAATTGGGAGATTGGGCATAGCCACATTGAAAGGCCAGTTGATGGGATTATAGCCTCAGTAAATCCCAGAGATTTGGCCAAGTGGGAAAGTCCAGGGTTTTTCCTTTTTGGGGTCTAGATCCCATCCTCATCATTCCCCCCTCAAACAAATGGGACCCAAATTCTTTTGGGGTAAGGATCAAAGGTCTTGGCTTCTGAAACTGCTTCCTGCTGGCAAGGGGCATAGAGCTGTCCCTACCTTGAGGCGGTCCCAAAGAGGAGGTTGACTGGAATTGAGCACTGGCTGCATCCTGGGAACTATGGGGGGATGTTGGCTGGTACCGGCTGTTTGCTATCAACTGTAGGTCAATGACCTGTAGTCTGGAAGACACAAATCTGACAGAAAAGACTGCAGG